ATAAGCAATGCAAAGAAAACGTTTTGAATGGCTTTTACAGACGAATAAAATCAGCATTTTTTCATAACCAAAAAACAAACTCAATTTTTAAACTATATTCAGCTACCAAAGACATCTAGAAAGTAATTGAGCAAGTCAGCATGTTTCTATACTTTCAAAATGTGTCAACAGCGAGACACGTGACTTTTTGTCGTTTGTTTTTGTCATTCTCCAATTTCTCTCATGAAGAAAAGAAGAACTTTTACATATTTGTCATCAATTGTGCAAGACTCGCTTATAAAACAGTGTAGAATAATTATCAAACGTTTTCTTTCTCCATCCCAATGTCGAGCGCACAAAGGGTAACATTGGAAGCATTACCTGTCGAAATTCTACATAGTATTTTCTATCATATCGATGGACAAACAATATTTTCCTCACTTCGCAACATGTGTCGACGATTAAGAGCAATCATCAACAAATATGATCGATGGACAATCGACTTTCAAAGAATTGCAAAACCTGATTTTCATCTCTTCTGTCGATATATTAATCCTGAAAATATTATCTCATTGACACTCTCAGATGATCATGATACATCTGGACAAATTGAAATATTTCTTTCACTGTTTAAGGCTCATCAATTTACTCGACTTCAATCAGTAACTTTAATTAAAGTTTCAGCTTATGATTTAGAAGCGATTTTTCGAACATTCAAGACGACTTCACTCAAATCATTCTCATTCACAGTTGAAAAACATAAGACTCTACATAAAGAAACAATGAGAATGAAAGTTCTCTCGATGATTATCACAGAAACAAATTTAGTTAAACTCGAATTACTTGAATTTCAATGGCATGAATTAGACAAAATGATTTGGCCTAAACAATCAACCATTCAACATCTAAAAATTCAAGCTCCTGTGACTCCTGTTGAGATATGCACGATTCTTGTTTGCTTATCTCACCTACGTACGCTAATTATAGGTGAACTCTATGATGGATTTAATGCACAGAAAAGTTTACCATATAGGTCTACACCTTTTCGACAAGTCATTTCATTAGCTATAGAAAAGATGACATTAGATATCGATGATCTCGAATTATTTCTTTCCCTATTACCTACATTAACTCATATGAGATTGATGATCTATGAAAAATTGGTCGATGGTAATCGATTGAAAAATTTTATTCAAACAAATCTTCCGTTATTGAACAATTTCGAGTTTTTCTTGTGCATAACAAGATATGTTTCACATGATCTTTCTGACATTCAATCACTTATCACATCATATCAAACACCATTCTGGCTCGAACAAAACAAATGGTTTGTTACTTGTGAATATTCAACCGATGCCAACAAACTCTATCCAATTCCATTTTGTGTATCTTCTCTTATCTATGACTTGAATACAGACAAAATATTTCTCTTTACTTTACCTCAGTCGATTGACAATGGTGCATCCAGAATAGATTGTATGACTACACTGAAATTAATTTTCTCAGACACTGAACTATTAATACAGGAAAATGTGAGTATAATATTTCTTTTCATCTACAAAAATAGGTCGGTTCAGTTTCACACATGCGATAGGAAAACGAGAGCGCTCGAAATTCAGAGTTGGAAGTTTATTGATGACTTTACATTTCTAGAATGAAACAACAAATCGTCGTTTATGTCGTAAAGTAAAAAAGCTGGAAATTAATTTCAAGGACAACTTACCATCAAACTGGATACTAACCGTTTCGACACTAGTCGATCTATCAACAATTGTTCAAATCAAATTCACAGGTCAAACGGTTTATAAAACAAGACGAAATATACGAGCTAGTATCGCCTATTTTCTCCAAAGAACATCTTCTTTAATATCGCTGAGTATCAATTATGATTCTCATATGTACAACTTTTGGACTGCTGATAATATTTGTTGTATGATTCCTTCTCATGTCAAACACTTGACAACATCAATTAAGCATGTCGATGAAATGAAACTTGTTCTTAAACGACTTCCTTATCTATCAAGTATTACATTCCACTTCTATTGCCCATCAAACATAGACGCAATATTTGGATGGCTTGTAAAATACAGAGGAGGTTCAAAATGCAAAAGAGAGAAATCTTCAATCAGTATATGGCTTGGCAAAGGTATCATCCAATCGAAAGAATACGAACATGTTAATAAAAAGATTAAACTGAGTGACAATCATCATGATGCATCATGAATTTGCTAAACGATTTTTCTTAAATAAAACTCTGAACATTTTGCATGTGTAGTGTATTGTGTGAGTTTGATTGTCGTGTCATTATTGGATTTTAAAAGTTTCCTTGCAACTATCAATGTTCTATTGAACTAAAACTTAGTGCACCTTGTAGATCGTAGCGAACTATTTTGTCGATAACAAAAATGTTTCTGTTGAGAACATTAAATCATTTAACTTTAATTATTACAAAGTCAATAGAAACTGAAATAAAATAAAATTTGTGTCTCATTTAATTAAGACAACTATTTAAGTGCTAGGTAAAAATATATAAATGCTAAGTTAATTTCTGCTAAGTAAAATTTGTATATATTCGGTAAATTTATTGAATGCTCATTTAAAATAATACTTTTCAGTAATTAAAATTTTTCTAAGTATATTAATTGGTAGGTAAATTTATGGAATTGTCGGTAAAAAACATATTTTAGCAAGTAAAAAACATAATTTTATAAGTAAAAACAAATGACAGGCAAGTCGTCGTTTTCCGTTCGTTTCTTTTTACGCGCATCACATATACTTGAATTTTTTCGTTCCTGCCCATCATATGTATTATGTTTTTTCCTTCTTTTTTCTACTTATCATCTTTTCATATGTATATGGTGTTTGTTGAGACATATTCCAGCCGCTCTACCTCCATCACCCCATGGACATTTACCAAGAATATACGATCCACTCCCCTATATATAGTCTGAGCTTTTTACAAATAAACAATGTGTGATTCAATTATACCGATACTCAATCTTATCCAACCGACTATGTGAAGTGACTCATCTTACAGAAGTTTCCATGGCAATTTTTGAGAATGGGTGGGTATGGATATTGTATTCGCATTATACTCATACTGAAAAGCAACTAAAGGATCGCTAATCGATTAACTGTTCAATCAAATTTTTTACTTAGTTTTCAATTAAATTTACTTAGCACTTAAATAGGTGCCATTAGAAACTAACTGTTTCTCAGATCATTGATATACAGTCTATAATATTCTCGGCGATATTCATCTTGAGGGTGGGTGTGGGTGTTGAAAGAATAGAGTACCCACACCCACACCCTTCCAATGTTGTATCAAAGAAATATTTACATTGCTAATCTAAAAATAAACTTTCAATATTTGATAATACTAGTAATTGTTGATAAATATTCAATTAAAAAAAATAGAAATAGATCTTGCAATGGAATAGTAACAGTTCAATCAATGAGAATAGACACTATCCTATTAGGTGAGAGCAGAGGACAAGGGTAGAATTGGAAGTAGATACTTATATAGCCTGAAGAAAAATTCGAAACGCATCGCTTCAAATTTATTCTATTTAAAATAAAAGTAAAATAAATAAATTCAAAAAATCTTTTTTTATTCTGCTCGTTATTTTTATTTATTTCAATCCATTTATTCGCTCATTGTCTTCACTTAAATATTGAAAAAACATTAAAAACTAAATCAAATTAAAAGTTACAAGAAATGCATTAGTTTTTTGTTGATTTTCTTTTACTTAGTCCTCACCCTCAAGATAAACAGCATAGCTTGTCTTTTTAGTAGAAGAATACAGTCTACGTGATTTTTGTTTTCGATTTACTGCGTGTTTGTGGTGTATAAACAAGTAATAATTACTTAAAACGCATCACATAATTTTTTTTCTACTTTTTTTTTACAGGATTTAGTATTTTGGCTATAACATTGTCATTACTCAATGAATTGGTTTATGTGTAAAAACAAAAACATGCATGCTTTTTACGGCCCTCACTGTATTTTCTTCTGTTTGTCAACAGTTACCTTAATTCATTTTGTTGAATACTTAGTGAAATATAGAAAATGATCTCATTCGATATTGAATATTTCTCTGAAAGGCAGTATCGCTTAAATGATAGAAAATCATGAGATGTTGAGGGTGACAGTGAGAGTATTTGTTCCTTGTCTGACCTATACCCGCACTCTAGAGTGATGTTCATCGGTTATTTTCGAGTTGATCGCATGCAGGTGGTGTTCCATTTATATTCGAATTCGTATTAGGTAGCGTTTGTCTGAGAGATCTGAAGAAATATTCTTATTTGTGAAAAATTTGTTATCAGTGTTAAAGAAATGTCTATCACTTGAACATGAAAGATTATTTAAAGGCGGAAAAGATTAACAATCTTCTTCCAGATGTCAAGAAAAAATCTGACAGAAAGTAGAGTTTGATGTTAATACTCATTTTAATTTTTATGTAGATGATGCAC